CCTGGCTCCCAGCCCCCCTGCTCTAACCACTAGCCCCCCACTCCCCTCCCCACGAGCCAGGGAGAGAACCCACGGAGTCCTGGCTCCCCAGCCCCCCTCCCGCTCTAACCACTAGACCCCCACCTCCCTCCCAGAGCTGGGGAGAGAACTCAGGAGTCCTGGCTCCCAGCCCCCCCCTCCGCTCTAACCACTAGACCCCCACCTCCCTCCCAGAGCTGGGGAGAGAACTCAGGAGTCCTGGCTCCCAGCCCAGAAGGAGGGCTAGCCCTGTTTTTCTGGACACTAACTTGGGCTGTGGGACACTCCACCAGATTGAATTCCCTGCCCATCCAGGCTGGTCACGTAGCCTCTCTGGGCCTCAGTTTCCCCATCCCTACAATGCCCTGCCCTGCCTTGCAGGTGATGGTGGGTAAACAGCCTGCAGCTTGTCAGGCACCCAGAGGCCATGGTGATGGGGACCGGAGGAAGCCCTGGGGCGGGGAGGGGCCTGCTGATATCACAATGCCAGGCCCCAGGTCAGAGGTTCCGGGCCGGCCCAGAGCAGCATTGGGCAGTGATGCTGCCTTGCCAACAGGGGGCACTGATGCTGGGAGCACCCTGTGCTGGGGCCATGGGCCCCTGGGCACTGGCAGTCATGGACCCCTGCTGCTGCCGTGACGTGCCCCACGATCTCGGCCTCCTGAGACCCCCAACCCCAACAAGCCAAGCCTGACACAGCTAGCCGGCCATGCTGATGCATCCACCAGGTGGGCTGAGGATGGGGCCTGGCGTGTAAGGGGGGCAGGACTCCTGGGTTCTCTCCCCGGCTCTGGGATGGGAGTGGGGTCTAGTGGTTAGAGCAGGGGGAGCTGGGAGCCAGGACTCCTGGGTTCTCTCCCCGGCTCTGGGACGGGAGTGGGGTCTAGTGGTTAGAGCAGGGGGGCTGGGAGCCAGGACTCCTGGGTTCTCTCCCCTCCTCTGTGACGAGAGTGGGGTCTAATGGCCAGAGCAGGGGGGCTGGGAGCCAGGACTCCTGGGTTCTCCTCTCGCTGACTTCCCCCCTAGGCATCGTGCGGAGGAGTCCGCACCCCTTCCCCGAATGCATCAGCGACTTCGCCTTCGCCGGCTGGATCCCGGTCATCGGGGAGCTGCAGAAACTGCTGGGGCAGGGGGAGTACAACCCCTTGTGCCCTGCCCCCCTCTTTGAGAGCAACTTCCTGCAGGTGAGCGCTGCCCCCTGCTGGTGGGGGGGATCAGGGCAGCTCCAGGGCACCCTCTCTAGGCTGCTCCTTGCCCCCTCCCTGCACCTTGGCTGGGCTCCGGCAGGCCCAGGGCCAAGGCCTCTCCCTGGTGGGGCCGGAAGCCGCGGGTTCTCGTCCTGCTGCCTAGGGAGAGGGGTGTGTGATCCAGCGGGGGCTGGTGCCTGGGACCCCCCACTAAGCCTCCCCTGCCCCCTGCCTTGCAGGTGACCAAGCGGGGCGAGCTGGTGGATCTGCACAACCGCGCCAGCCTGGTGACCCTGGGCATCGCCGCCACCAGCCCCGCCCTGCTCCTGCCCGACGTCATGATCATCGCCCGCCCCACGGAGAGGCCCCAGGGGGAGCCGTTGGGCCCCAGGGGGGCTCACGTCCGGCCGGGGCTGGAGCTGACCCGGTGAGTGCCAGCAGGGGGCGCCCTTCGCAGCAGTCAGGGCTCAATGCCCCAGGTGGCACTAGGGGGCGCCGTGCTGCAGCCAGGCCAATATAAGCTGGGAGCCGGGCCTGGTCTCTGAGTCAAGGGCAGGAAAAACTCTGTGTTCTGCTAATGGCAACTGCATGAACAGCCCCGGCGCCCCACCCCAGAGGTGGCTGCATCTCAGTGCTGTGTGAACAGATCCCAGGCCTCCCTGCTCTAACCACTAGACCCCATTCCCCTCCCAGAGCCAGGGAAACAACCCAGGAATCCTGGCTCCCAGCCCCCCCCCCAACCACTAGGCCCCCCTCCCCGAATAGGGCTGGAACCCAGGCGTCCGGCTGACCCCCCGCCCCTGGCAGGCTGATCCCACTGGAGCTGGTGAGCCTCTACCTGCATGACCTGGGGGAGCAGCGGCTGAAGTTGCGCCTGGCCACGGGGCGTGTCTACTACCTGCAGCTCTGCGCCCCCCGGGGGGAGGAGCGCCCGCTCTTCGCCCGCTGGCTACGCCTCATCTACCTGCTGAGGGCCCCCTCGGACAGCTGGGCCAGCATCCCCTCCTGGCACACCGCCGACCTGCGCGGGCGCAGCGCCAAGGTCAGCTGGGGGCAACGTGGAGTCGTCAGGCCCATGGCGGGCGTGGGGTGTATGGGCTGGGGGGGCAGGGGGCAGGGAGGATGTTGGCACCAGGGGGCCCGGCTGGGCAACGTGGGGGGTGGGGAGCAAGGGGTCAGTGGCTGCGGAGTGGACAGGAGGGAGCGCTGTGTGGGGAGTGCAGGGCAACATATGGGGCACAGGGTGGGGGGCACATCCTGTTCTGCTGGGCCAACCCCATCTCTCCATCCCTGCTCCCCCATCTCTCCAGCCGCCCCCCAGCCGGCGGCTGTGGCCCATCCAGGAGGAGGAGGAGCCCAGGGCCCTGAAACCCCGACTTGGGGAGCCCCCGAGCAGCGGGAGCCGGACCCCCAGCCAGGGGCAGCCGAGCGGGAGGCAGAGCCCGGCCATCCCCACCAGGGGGCAGCAACCCTCCACGTAGGTACCGCTGGGTCAGCCGGAGACTGAGGGGTGGAGGGGCTGGGAGCCAGGACTCCTGGGTTCTCTCCCCAGCTCTGGGAGGGGACTGGGGTCTAGTGGTTAGATCAGGTGGGTGGGAGCCAGGACTCCTGGGTTCTCTCCCCAGCTCTGGGAGGGGAGTGGGGGCTAGTGGTTAGAGCAGGGGGGGGCTGGGAGCCAGGACTCCTGGGTTCTCTCCCCAGCTCTGGGAGGGGAACAGGGCCCGGTGGTTAGAGCAGGGAGGTCTTTCCAGCCGATAGCTCCCCTATGTCTCTCTTGAGCCCGCGGTGCAGGGAAGCATGGATGGGCAGGGGCTGGCACGCAGGGGGAAGATCAGGGCGGGTTTGGGGGGACCCTGTACGTGGGCTCTGAGATCTGCGGAGGATCCCAGCTGGCTCTGGGGCCTGCCCCTGCCATCCCTCTTCCCCCACAGGCCGGGCGGTTCTGATTCGGGCTCTCTCTTTGCAGGCAGAACGTAGGGGGACAGGGGTCCGGACGCCCCACATCACCCAGCATAGGTAGGTACTGCACGGGCTGGTACCGGAATCAGGGCACCCACACAGCGCCCCCTGCTGGCAGAGGTGCAGCTGGAGCAGCCAGGAGCCCCCCCAGCCAGCGCTCTCGCCCCACTCCTCACAGCGCCCCCTGCTGGCAGAGATGGGGCTGGGGCAGCCGGGATCCCTCCCCACTCCCAGCCCCTCACTTCCCTCCTGTTTCCCAGCAGCCCCAGTGAGACGTTCCCCCAGCACCATGCAACTCCTTGATGGTCTTTCCCGCTCCCGGGCGGAGGTCGCCAGCCCCTGGACGCAGGTGAGGGCTGATGGGCGGCGGTGGCAACCTAGGGGGCTGAGGGGGGCTGTGCCTTGGGCAGAGGACCCCTGTCTCCGGGAATGGGGGGTGCTGGGAAAGGGTGTTTCCCCCAACACTAGCCCAGAGGGGTTCCCTGTCTGCCCTGCTTTTCACGGGGCCTAGGGGGCGCTGCTGAGCAAGGAGTGATGCATCTGCTGTCTGCGGGACAGGTGTCAGTGCAGTCTAGTGTTTAGAGCGGGGTAGGGGCTGGGAGCCAGGACGCCTGGGTTCTCTCCCTGACTCTGGGAGGGAGGGGGGTCTGGTGGTTAGAGCGGGGCGGGGCTGGAATCCAGCACGCCTGGGTTCTCTCCCTGACTCTGGGAGGGGAGGAGGGTCTGGTGCTTAGAGCGGGGCGGGGCTGGAATCCAGGATGCCTGGGTTCTCTCCCTGACTCTGGGAGGGGAGGAGGGTCTGGTGGTTAGAGCTGCCGTTACCCCAGGATCCCTCCACAGCAGGTCCCAGTGTCCGGGGAGCCGAGCGCAGAAAGGAACCGTGGCCAGCTGAGCCTGGCCATCCCCTCTGGTTCCCAGAGCCCGGCAGGAACCCCGAGCCAGCCTGGATCTAGTGCCAGGTCTACAGCCACCACGGCTCCCAGCTCCCCCGAGCGATCTAGAGCCTCCGTGGGCGTGGGGCGCTCAGCGGTGGGCACCGCCTCCGTGGGCGTGGGGCGCTCAGCGGTGGGCACTGCCTCCGTGGGCGTGGGGCGCTCGGCGGTAGCCACAGCATCGGCAGCAGCGGGTCCCTCCAGGCCGGCCAGCGCCCAGCCCTCACGGATGGGCGGAGAGATGGAGCCGGGCAGGAGATCCAGGGAGCCCAGCACGGAGAGGAGCCGAGCCCAGCTGGGCCTCGCCAGTCCCTCCACGGAGCAGGGCAGGTCCCGTTCCCGGAGCCAGCGTGGATCTAGTGCGGCATCCAGAGCCACCACGGCTCCCGGCTCCCCCGAGCGATCCAGAGCCTCCGTGGGCGTGGGGCGCTCAGCAGTGGGCACCGCCTCCGTGGGCGTGGGGCGCTCGGCGGTGGGCACCACCTCCGTGGGCGTGGAGCGCTCAGCGGTTGGCACTGCCTCCGTGGGCGTGGGGCGCTCGGCGGTAGCCACAGCATCGGTAGCAGCGGGTCCCTCCAGGCCGGCCAGCGCCCGGCCCTCAGGGATGGGCGAAGAGATGGAGCCGAGCGGGAGATCCAGGGAGCCCAGCACGGAGAGGAGCCGAGCCCAGCTGGGCCTCGCCAGCCCCTCCACGGAGCAGGGCAAGTCCCGTTCCCAGAGCCAGCGTGGATCTAGTGCGGCATCCAGAGCCGCCACGGCTCCCAGCTCCCCCGAGCGATCTAGAGCCTCCGTGGGCGTGGGGCGCTCGGCAGTGGGCACCGCCTCCGTGGGCGTGGGGCGCTCCCTACCATCCACTGCTTCGGTGGCAGCGGGTCCTTCCAGGCTGGCCAGCGCCCAGCCCTCGGGGAGATCCGGGGAGAGGAGCCGAGCCCAGGTGGGCCATGCCAGCCCCTCCATGGAGCAGGCCGGGTCCCGTTCCCAGAGCCAGCGTGGATCTAGTACGGCACCTGGGCCAACGGGAGCGACCATGACCCCCAGCTCCCATGAGCGGCCCAGTGGCTCCAGGGCTCCCAGCTTTCCGGAGCCAGCCAGCTCGCCCATGACTGCTGCTGCACCTCCGGAGAGATCTCAACTCTCCGGGGGTGTGGGGCCTTCGGAGGGGGCCACGGTGGCCCTGGCCGTGGGCCCCTCTGGGCAGAGAAGCCGGAGCAGCTCCCGGTTGGGTCAAGCCAAGAGACAGGGAACGAGGTCCAGGGCGACAGTTGGAGAAAGCGACAAAGGCAAAGCCCGGTCCAGCGCCAGCAGCACCGGCCACAAGAAGCCATCCAGGTAAGTGGGGAATCGGTTAAACACATAACCAGCCTCCGGGCCCCACCCCAGAGGGGCCACATGTCAGGGCTGGATGAGGGGTCCCAGTATGACCAGTCCCGGTGCCCCATTCCAGAGGGGTCGCATCCCAGCGCTGGATGAGGGGTCTCCATATGACCAGCCCCCATGCCCCACCCCAGAGAGGCCGCATCCTAGCACTGGGTGTGGGGTCCCCGTAGGAGCAGCCCCTGTGCCCTGCCCCAGAGGGGCCATGTCTCAGCGTGTGTGTGTGTGTGTGTGTGTGTGTGTGTGTGTGTGTCGTCCTCGTCCGCCCCTGCGTAGGAGAG